AAAAAAAAAAAAAAAAAAGGACATAAAGACTAAAACAGTTACCTGGGATTAATAGCAATGCACAACTCCAGAGCAGGGCCCAGGCCAACTCCTAGAAAACAAGAAAAACCCAGAACACAATTATCCAGTCTTACCAGTCAGTTCTGGAAGAGGACCCTCACATCCAAAAGCTGATCATGAGTAGCATAGGCATTCATGCTCCAAAAACAGGTATGTAAAGCTAAAGTAATTCTCTTTCCTCTCTCTTCCTTATTTTCAAGAGTATATATACTCCAGTTACTTGTAGACATACCCACAAAATTGCTCTTTTAGTTCAAATCACAAGTGATCATGGGGGGTGGGGGAAGTGAAGCAGGCAGGTGAAATATTTTTGAGCTAGAGTAATGCGAGACTATAATGTGGACTGAATCAGGAATTAGAGCAACAAGGCAGAACAGGGCCTGGTAGCCAGCAACCTTGCAGTCATGCAGACTGACTTCACTGGGAACAAAGAAAGGTCAGACAGGTTCTGCAGGTAGACACCAGCCAATAGGAGAGCAACTTGTTCCAGCCGGACATTTCTTCTGTCCTGCCTCTTTCCTGATAATTCACCTCTTCATGCCTTTGAAAACTAAATCTTAATCTGTAAATCCCTTTCTTTCTAAAAGTTCCTCAATACAGTATAGATTATACCTGTCACTCAGAACAAGTTGTACATCAGTAGGCTTGCTTTGCTATTATTTTTATTATGTGGCTTCAGTCCTGCTTCCTTTAATGATGATTCTAGAAAAGCTGCACTTTGAATTCTTTCCTGAGAGTCAGCGAATTGTCCTGTGTGGCAGATGTCAATGTGTGGCTTTAACTGTTGGCCAGGCTCAGAGCCTGTGCAAGCAGATGGACCAGTGTGGGTCCAACTAAGCCAGGCCCTAAGCCTAGTTCTCATATCTATCATTTAGCAAGTCATAAAGCTCATTCATTTGAGCACACAGTAACTATTTTTAGATCCAAAAGTAGGAGTCACAGCTGACAGTCACAAAGAAAAAGCAGTACAATGCAAAAGATATTCAAATACAAGTATGACTAGACCCTGCAGCCCTAGAAGAGCCCAGGAGGGAAAAATCACAACAGTAATATACTTCAGGGAAGACACCACGAAGAAGTCTTCTAAGGAACAGACAGACAACAAAGTATGCAAGTTGGTGGTTAACTAGAAAAAAAAAATCTCAGGTTTTAGTTTTAAGAAATACTGAAACTGGGAGCTGGGAAGGTGGCTCAGTGGTAGAGTGCTTGCCTTGCATGTCTGAGGCCCTGGGTTCAATTCCTCAGCACCACATAAGCAAAAAGAAAAAAGCCAGAAGTGGCACTGTGTCTCAAGTGGTAGAGCGCTAGCCTTGAGCTGAGGGACCCAGAGTTCAGGCCCCATGACTGGACCAAAAAAAAAAAAGAGAAAGAAATACTGAAATTGTAGCACTATCCACCCGTTCACCCCAATTAGACCAATTCCTTAGCATACCTGTAAGGAAAGCAAATCCAGCAAGAAGTCCCAGTCTCTTCTGCTCAGTTTCATGGCTATGAGGTGTTGCCATCAGCCAAATCATCAACCCCAGGGAGCCCAAGGCAGAGAGCAGGCCAGCCTGTCAGATCCAATCAATAAATAAATATTACAGGGTTTCACACTGTGGTAGGAGACTTTACGAGGTTCAAATACTTATCTAAAATTCCTAGTATTTGTAGCCAGATGCCGGTGGCTAACGCCTGTAATCCTAGCTACTCAGGAGGCTGAGATCTGAGGATCGCAGTTCAAAGCCAGCCCGGTCAAGAAAATCCGAGAGACTTTTTTTTAATTTAATTTTATTTTGGGTCCGGTTGTGGAACCTGAACTCTGGGCCTGGGCGCTGTCTCTCAGCTCTTCAGCTCAAACCTAGAGCTCTACCACTTGAGCCACAGTGCCACTTCCGGCTTTTAACTTTTTGCATATGTGGAGCTGAGGAATCGAACCCAGGGCCTCATGCATGCCAGGCAAGTGCTCTACCATTGAGCCACCTTCCCAGCTCCAATCCGAGAGACTTATCTCCAATAAACCACTAGAAAACTGGAAGTGGTGCTGTGGCTCAAGTGGTAGAGTGCTCGCCTTGAGCTAAAGAGCAAAGGGACAGCACCCAAGCCCAGAGTTCAAGCCCCACGACCGACCAAAAAAAAGAAAAAAAAAATCCTAGTATTTGTGTCTAACCTGAAGGCAAGGAAAAAGGCACTGTTTTCTCAACTGTAGGGAGGGAAATCAAGGCTCTAAAGATAAGGGAACGGAGCACAGTGGAAGTGGATGCTAAAGGTTCTTGGAGTTCCTTTATAGTCAATCATCTGCTGCATAACTGCTCAAGTCAAACTATGAATCAGTCTTGCCCAAGAAACAGAAAAGATGAGCCAAACTGACAAGTGCTTAAAAAGCACATCTCATCATGATGTAGAATAATAAAAAAACAAAAAAACAAGAGACTAGTAAATACCAATGAATGTTAACAGTGATGGGTAATGGAAGGTTTGTGTTTTTTGAGTATTTCTGTTGTAGGTTTTTCCTTCCCCAGACTGGGTCTTGCTTATGTAGCCCAGGCTCACCTGGAACTTGAGATTCTCCTGTCTCTGCTTCCCAAATAGGACTATAAGAGTATACTACTCCACCCAGCTTTGGAGGTTTTTAAAAATCACATTCTTCTTGTAAGTCATGTTTCTGAATTCTTTGTACAATAGACATTTACTAATTTTGTAACAAGTTCTTTTTCTTTCTTTCTTTCCTTTTTTTTTGTTGGTCATGGGGGTTGAACTCTGGGCCTGGGCACTGTCCTTGTGCTCTTCAGCTCAAGGCTAGCGCTCTACCAATTGAGCCACAGCACCACTTCCAGTTTTCTAGTGGTTTATTAGAAATAAGAGTCTCACGGACTTTCCTGCCCGGGCTGGCTTTGAACTGCGATCCTCAGATCTCAGCCTCTTGAGTAGCTAGGATTACAGGCATGAGCCACTGGCGCCTGGCTCTTTTTTTTTTTTTTTTAAAGGGAGAAGCTATAGGCATTAGAAAAAAAGGAAAATAATCAAGAATAGATATACACATGAAGTTCCTGTTTTCCTTTAAAGATATAGTTAACATATGGCTGGCATTGGTGGCTCATGCCTATAATCCTAGCTATTCCCAGGCTAAGATCTGAGGATTGTGATTTGAAGTCAGCCTGGAAGAGAAAATCCATAAGACTCTTACCTCCAATTAACCATCAAAAACTGGAAGTAATTACATTCAAAATGTACTTAACATCATTATTTTTAATGTATCTTGCAAACAAATGCATTTGGACACCATTTCATTGCTATCACTTCATTGCAATTTTTATTGTGAAGAATTATATTCAAAATGTATTAACATCATTACTGTTAATGTATATTATAAACATGCATTTCACATGTAAATAATATGTGGACTGTTATTTACTTACCTATCAAGTTGTAAAATTAAATAGCAATATGTAAAAAAAAACAAAAAACTGGAAGTAGAGCTATGGCTCAAGTGCTAGCTTTGAACACAAAAGCTCAGGACAGTACCCCAAGCCCTGAGTTCAAGCCCCAGGACAGACAAAATAAAAAAAAATAAAGAAAGAAAAAGACTCAGCCAATTCAAAGTAATCATGCTAAAATGGACAGTGAAATTAGTGAATTTTGAGTCACTGATCCTGAAGGAAATACAGAGTTCATTTCCTACAAGCTTCTGATCACATTTTCATGAAACAATACAGTAATCTAATTTCATGTGGTTCTGTTTAAGGATACCTTAATGTATCATACATTGTTGACTTATTAAATTCACAGCCAACAGCACTATAGCTGATATCTGAACAAGCATTATCTATTTTCTCCCTAAGATACTGCAATTAGTAATGTAATGGGCAGCACTTCCTCCCATCTTTGAATTTCAAACTGCAAAATCAGTAACAAAAACACACAAAAAAGGCTGAGGAGCCAGGCACTGGTGGTTCACGCCTATAATCCTAGCTATTCAGGAGGCTGAGGTCTGAGGATCTCAGTTCAAAGCCAGCCCAGGCAGAAAAGTCCATGAGACTCTTATTCAATGAACCATCAGAAAACCAGAAGTAGCGTTGTAGCTCAAAGAAATTTGAGTGAAATATGAAGGCAGAGTGTCATCATTCCTGACCTACAATAAGAAGCTAGCACCACATATTTTGAACAAAGTTTTCACCACGCTGTTCCTATCTGCAAAAAGTAACAGGATTAGGGCTGGGAAAGTGGCTCAGTGGTAGAGTGCTTGCCTTGCATGCATGAGGCCCTGGGTTTGATTCCTCAGCACCACATCAGCAGAAAAAGCCGGAAGTGACCCTGTGGCTCAGCCTTGAGCTGAAGGACAGTGCCCAGGCCCACAGCTCAGGCCCCACAACAGAGTTAAAAAAAAAAAAAAGGTAGTAGGATTTTGCAGTTAGCAAGCAGGTGAACTCCTAAATACAAAATCTGGGAATAATGAGAACTGATTGCATTTTTATTATATGAATGTTTAAAAAAAGTAGACCAAGCCGGGCGCCGGTGGCTCACGCCTGTAATCCTAGCTACTCAGGAGGCTGAGATCTGAGAATCGCGGTTCAAAGCCAGCCCGGGCAGGAAAGACTGTGAGACTCCTATCTCCAATAAACCACTAGAAAACCGGAAGTGGCGCTGTAGCTCAAGTGGTAGAGTGCTCGCCTTGAGCTGAAGAGCTGAGGGACAGCGCCCAGGCCCAGAGTTCAAGCCCCACGACCGCCAAAAAAAAAAAAAAAAAAGTAGACCAAAACAACACAACTAGAAACAAGAGGAAAAAACCTTGCCTTTAACTCAAGGATCAAAGTCCTGTTTTGAATACGTAATTTTTCATACAACCCTTAGTAGGAGATACCTGAAGGACAGTTTTCTGCCATTGCAAATGCGAGGCACAAATACAGAGTCATATTTATGATTTAGTGAGAGCTTCAAAGTTTTTGGTTAGTTGTCAAACTCTGCCTTCTACTGATGGCCAGCACTAATAAGTCTACCTCAGGACAAAAGGTTTCTCTCAAACCATTCAGTAGATCAGAGAGTAAAATAGGTCAAATTTGTAAAGGTCTCAATCTTGCCTCTCCCAATAATTAACAGTACAATTGATGTTTTGTCTCCCAATTCTCACTGTTCCACAGTCATTTAGGTAACAAAGAACAAGAAAAAGACACGTTGGTGACCAATGCAGAGAAAGCCCCACACATGGCTCTGTGTATCTTCCAAGTCAGCAGCACACCATCCAAAGCCAAGGTTAACATACTGTTTTCAGTATGCAGAGGGGCAGTTGCCAGAACACTTAACCAGCTCTACATATCTTGATTTAATGGTGGGCAGAGTTCAGATCTCAAATTACTGATAAGGATTAAGTAGGGGCTCAGGAATGGACCATCCTGTTGAGCTGGTTTTCCTTCTATGCAGTTTAGTATTACAGCAACCAGTTCTTACCTGGATGAAATGAGTGACCACGTGAACATAGGCCCCCGCAGCCGCCACAAACATACAGAGGGCAAAACTGGCATAGACCTTCTTCAGGTGCTGCTGTGTTGAGGGAGTTCTAGGAAAGAACATTAACAGCTATCAGTCTGGATCAATCTCATCTCCTCAGGACCTCTTCTCAGGGGGATGTGTGATAGTTATAAGTAGTTGGAGATATGTTGGGGAAAGCATTATTATAGTAAGAATCCTTAAAAATAGATTAACAGACTAATACTTAGAAGACCCAAGAGCCCAATGTCTTGTATTCCCATTATACACACACTAGGATTAAAGACTTTCCAGTGATCATATAGCAACTCTCAGAAACTAAGCATTTTTTATCAGGTTTATCTGGAGTCTAGCCAATTTGTTAACTTATACATACAGAAGTTAATGAAGTGGGGGAAGGGAGGGAGAAGCCAAGAGAAGAAATGAAGGAACCAGAGTCAAGGTTAGTACACTTACATGTGGGAGAATTTTAAGAGTGCATCAAAGTTGATCTTCCGATCAAATACGTTCATGGTTCCAGAGTCAGTGTGACACAGTCTCCTCTCTATCTGATCAAGGGTAAAGAAAAGGTTAAAGACACCAAGACACATAAAAAGCACAAATAACTTTTTTTTTTGTCAGTCATGAGGCTTGAACTCCAGGTCTGGACACTGTCCCTCAGCTCTTCAGCTGAAGGCTAGCATCCTACCACTTAAGCCACAGCGCCACTTCCGGTTTTCCAGTGGTTTATTTCAGGAAAGTCTCACAGACTCTTCTGCCCGGGCTGGCTTTGAACTGAGGTCTTCAGATCTAAGCCTCCTGAGTAGCTAGGATTACAGGTGTGAGCTACCGGCACCCAGCTACAAATAACATTCTTATTTACAATACTGACATTGTTCATTAGAATAATGAAGCTATCAACAAGGCTTACATCTGTAATCCTAGCTACTCCTGAGGATCACAGTTCAAAGCTAGCCCTGGCAGAGAAGTCCGTGAGACTTTTATCTCCAATTAACCACCAGAAAACTGAGGTGGAGCTGTGGCTCAAGTGGTAAAGCACTAGCTTTGAGCTGAAGAGCTCAGGGTCAGTGCCTAGGCCCAGAATTCAAGCCTCAAGACTGACCAAAAAAAAAAGCTACCACCAGGTGCTGGTGGCTCACTTCTATAATCCTATTCAGAAGGCTTGAGATCTGAAGATCAAGGTTCAAAGCCAGCCTGGGAAGAAAAATTCATGAGCCTCTTATCTCCATTAAACTACTCAGAAAGGGCTGGGAAGGTGGGGCTCAGTGGTAGAGCGCTTGCCTTGCATGCATGAGGCCCTGGGTTCGATTCCCCAGCACCACATAAGCAAAAAAAAAGGAAAAAAGCCGGAAGTGGCGCTGTGGCTCAAATGGTAGACCGCTAGCCTTGAGCTGGAAGAGCTGAGGGACAGCGCCCAGGCCCAGAGTTCAGGCCCCACAACTGGACCCAAAAAAGTAAAAAATTAAAAAAAAAAAACTACTCATAGGGGCTGGGAAGATGGCTCAGTGGTAGAGCGTTTGCCTTGCATGCAAGAGGCCCTGGGTTTGATTCCTCAGCACCACATAAGCAAAAAGAAAAAAAAAAGCCAGAAGTGGCGCTGTGGCTCAAGTGTAGAGCGCTAGCCTTGAGCTGAAGAGCTGAGGGACAGCGCCCAGGCCCAGAGTTCAGGCCCCACAACCGGCCCCCCCTCAAAAAATAAATAAACTACTCAGAAAAAGCAGAAAGAGGTAGAGTATTAGCCCTAAGTTCAGATACTGCAACCAAGGCACTGAGTTCAAGCCCCAGGACTCACGCGCGCACACACACACACACACACACAATCCCAGGACTCACGCACACACACACGCACACACACACACACAATCTCCCTACAATCTATTTCACTACCCCTCTCCAAATATTTTTTTTTGGGGGGAGGGGGGGGTCCAGTCGTGGAGCCTGAACTCTGGGCCTGGGTGCTGTCCCTCAGCTCTTCAGCTCAAGGCTACCACTCTAACACTTGAGCCACAGCACCACTTCTGACTTTTTACTTTTTGCTTATGTGGTGCTGAGGAATCAAACCCAGGGCCTCGAGCATGCAAGGCAAGCGCTCTACCACTGAACCACCTTCCCAGCCCAATATTTTCATTTTTATGTATGTACTTTTGGAATGCTTGCAATAACTGTTAATTATTTTAAAAAGAAGTAAAAAATAAACCAATCTTCTCTCCCAAACAATTGTTACTAGCATTTGATGTCTATTCTTTTGGAAAGTCATTTGTCCTTTAAAAGAGTTTGTAGGAGAAATTCTCAATTAGCAGCCTAGTTAAAGGGATCCACTAGCATATAAAACCAATTTTAGGGCTGGGAAGGTGGCTCAGTGGTAAAATGCTTTAGCATGCATGAGGCCCATGGTTCCATTCCTCAGCATCGCATAAGCAGAAAAAGCCAGAAGTGGTGCTGTGGCTCAAGTGGTAGAAGACTAGCCTTGAGCTGAAGAGCTCAGGGACAGCGCCCAGGCCCAGAGTTCAAGGTTCAAGTCCCATGACAGACAAAAAATAAATAAATATATATATATATAAAAATATATATATATATGCATAAGTTTCCTACTTAATACATATTTAAATTGAACTAAAGTTCACAATTTTAAAGCTTTTTTATTATATCTATGAAAACTCATTTATGCAAAGACTTCCCTGTATGTTTACCATCCTTTTAACATTCCCAATGTTATTATTTTACCATACTTGCTTTAATTCCTTCCTCCCTGTCACCTCTCTGTTAACTCTTGCCTCTCTCTCTCTCTCTCTCACACACACACAGACACACACACATATACACACGCACACATACAAACATACATACATACACCAACCTTATCTGTAAAGACTTATCAAGAAACTAGCCAAAACACCAGTAGCTCATGTCTGTAATCATAGCTACTCAAGTGTCTGAAATGTGAGGATTGTTGCAGTTTGAAGCCAGCCCAGGCAGGAAAGTCTGTGAGACTTATCTCCAACTAACCACCGAATATCTGAAAGTGGAGCTGTGGCTCCACTTGAGAGCCAGCCATAAACCAAAAAAATCTAAAGAGCCCTGGCCCAGAGTGCAAGCAAACACAAAAACAAAAAATGTGATGTCGTTTTCTTTTTTTCTTTCTCTTTGCAGTAATTCTAGGCACTTTGTGCTTGCTCATCTAGTACCCTACCACTCAAGCCATACTTCCAGCCCTGTGTTTTGCTGGTTATTTTAGAGATGGAGTCTAGCAAACTTTTCTGTCCTGGCTGGCTCTGAACTGCAACCCTCCAGGTTTCAACCTTATAGGCATGAGCCACCAGCACTTGACTACAAAACTATTTGTAGCCCTACAACTTTCTTCAGATTTTCCCCCAACAATTCTAGTATGCCAGAAAGGACATTTTAAAGCCGATCCATATTAAGGTTAAATCACATCAACACCAGAAAGTCACCTTTAGTCTTGCTCCCACTCCTATCATGCATGCAGTCCTACACACATTCAATCCACAGAACTAAAGATCTGATCGAGAGCTTCTCTCCTAAATATAGATCCTCCAAATTCTTATTCAATAGATGATGCCTATCTCTTTCAAATCTACCAAAAAGGGGAGATGGTGGACGGGTAGGATGGGCTTCAAACACAGACACAGAAGACAGTCGAACTACTCATGCCCATTTGAATCAGTAGACACCCCCAATGCTCAGCACAATTAAACTAGACAATGGATATTACTGTCCTGAAGTCAACCTCCTGAAGAACCCTGTGCAGATGGAATGATGCCACTCTTTAAGTTATAAGCATCACTGCCATTAGTTTCTTGAGGCTCTCCTCCCCCAAAAACAGTCACAATAGCTGGCTGGCTTTCTCAAGAGTCCCTTCCTTTCCCTCACCAATAACCACACTCACCTCACTTCCTTTATGTTTAAGGCTGGATACAGTGAGGAGCTGCAGACCCTAGTGAAGTTGCTGCCCTGTCCTGTGAGTCACAGGGCTCTGGGCCCTCTTGATCTAGATGGTGCAATTATTGCAGGCTGTTGCAAGGTTTAGCACAGCCTTCCAGAACCATGATAAATGATCCTCTAGGGAGCACACTTACAGGATGACAGAATCCAGCACCTGGAAAGTGTCTTTGTTTAAGGCTTCCATTAACAACCTTAATGACATCCCTAGACAGAACTTACAACAATACTGAAGCAACCTGCAGAGCCAAGTTTCTCAGTGTTCACAAAAGCAATGCTAAAGTACCTCTTGCTTCCAATTTCAAGCATCAAAAGGAGGAGAGGGCTTCCAATGCCCAGAGGATTGTTAGAAAGGGGCAATACACATGTAACCAAACCATTCTGACAGGACAAAGGCAGAAACTCCTCTTTCCCAGTGGTTTACTGACTGCCTCTTTCTTGGGCCTGCTCTCTAGATGAAAACTATCAAAGGCTGTGTGAGTGAAGGGACATCGAAGTAATTACACCTTGATTTAGTAGTAGCTTAAGATCTGAAAGACTTTAAAACAACTTCCTTTTTGTTTTGGAGATGGGGTCCTACTTTTGCTATGTAGGCCAAGCTGGCCTTAAACTCATGATCCTTCTGTATCAGCCTCCTAAGTGTGTGATTTTAAGGCATATGCTACCATGTCAGACTAAAGGTTTTCCATTTTTTTTGCTATGTTTACCTATTCCAAAGTTTAAATAAATGGTGAACTAACTTTAAATGAACTACCAGATTTTAGAGATGCAAAAGTAGATGACAATTTTAATAGCAGTATAGAAAAATACAATAAATCATTTAATGTTCAAGATACATTATTCAATTTATTTCAGAAATGTTAAAATTGGAAGGGAATGTAGACAAGTCTTAGAATCAGGAAACAATAGCTTGCTGTTCCAAAGAGACAAGAACTATCATACACATATAAGTACTAAAATAAGTGTTCCAAAGAGACAAGAACTATCGTACACATATAAGTACTAAAATAAGTGTTCCTCGAGTTTTGCCAGATAGAATACATTTATCTGGTTTCTACCTTAGCCCCAGCTTGTTGTGCTCAGAAGCTGAACAAAAAACATAACCACACCTTTAATTTTCAAAGGCCAATATGCAAAACTCAGTAGGAACAAGATTAAATTGCATTTAGAACTCAAAAATAAAAACTTCCATACACCAAGAGCTTTTTAGTCCCAGGAACAGCTGGCTCTTAACATGGCTTGAACTAATCAAAATGATTAACCAAGTAACTCAGCTTACATAACAGAAAAACCCACGATTAAATAACAAACTTTACTTAAAAAAAAAAAATGCGGGCTGGGAAGGTGGCTCAGTGGTAGAGCGCTTGCCTTGCATGCCTGAGGCCCTGGGTTCAATTCCTCAGCACCACATAAGCAAAAAGAAAAAAGCCG